TAAGATGTCCATGACGATCATTCCCAGTCTTCGTAGTTTTCAGTTCCGGTCAATTTTTCAATGCTGTCCAACGTGCCTAGTCGGCTAGGCAGATCAGATGCCTGATTCTTGATTCTGGCAGATCTCTGCCCCATCCTTGTTGCTGCAACTGCAGCAGTTTCTTGTTCCAATTGTGTCTCCGGCGTCATATCCGTAGATGAGGGTGTAGGCGACAGTCCATCGCCTTGCTGAGTCGACATTTTAATCGTTCAATTGAGTCAAGTTAGCCATATAAGCTGTATGGAACCGTATGAAGCCGTTCTGAGCTCCAGATCCGTGTGTAAGATCGTTTTCAGAGTAATCTACTCTGTATTCAAGTCCATTCGAGTCGATCAAGGGAGCGAGACCCCGGCACCTTGCCAGTCAGGTCGATCGATTCGAATTGTAAGTCAGACAACGTCGTTATCAGTCGTCTGCCAGTGCTGCCGGGCTCATAACCTCTCGGCGTAAGGCTGCCGAGAGCTCAGTGGGGAAATAGATGAAGTCTATCTAGGCATAGAAGATCAATATATTATTGCTCCCTCTGGGGAAGAAAAAGAAGAACTGACTAGGAGCCGGCGTTGAGGTCGGCTCTAAATCTGCGTGGCCGGTTTGGCGGTCACGTGGTAACTGACAGCTGATTGGTCAGACCTGGCAGCTGCCTGAATGCCGTATGGGTCAGGCACCAACACGAGGTAATAATAAAAAATCAGTCATACAGTATACTGGTATTAGATATATCCGGCAGAACAAGGCGGTGTCCAGACACCATACCATATAAGGGAGGCGGTATGGTACCCGCACTAACCTATATAGGCAAGTCACATGACCCAGAAACCTCGCGTCAAAAATCACCAAAATATCACTTTGTCCGACTTGCCGTTTTCCGGTTTGGAGTTCGGACAGAAGTGCACAGGAGGTCTGTGTGCCTGCCTCTAGGGAAGGTCAGCTGACCTGAGTGTCATTTTGTCCGGCTTGGCATTTTCCGCTTTGGTTTTTGACAGAAATGCATGATATTGATCTGGCACCTTGGCTAAGATAACCACTGCATGTTGATTATGGGGTGATTCCAGTGTAATAAAAGAAATTAAGACAGTAAGAGTCTTTACTATCATGCTGCAAGCTTATTGATTTACTGCTACAGTAGTTTGGGGATTGCCAATGAGACCATTGACATGTAACGGCTTTGCTTTAACTGCCATCAGCAGAAATTATGACCCGGCCAATGTCCCACTCATGACAGCAGAAGCAAGCAAACGAGCCATAATTCCAGTCGTTCGGCACATGCGCGGCTGTCATCGTGCCTCGGCAACTGGTCCGCGTCGAGTTGGTCGACGATGCTGGATGGCGTGCCTGGAGATAACGAGTGGATCCACTCGGCCGTTGTCATTGGGTCAGTCGCCATTTCCATTATCTTCGTTTTATCCCGATTGTGATTTGTCTGTCGTTCTGTCCGACAGTTCTGGTGCTCAGCACTTTCGTTTCTGCCTCGAGTCCTGTCTGTCTTTCTCTCTGGCTCGCTTGAGTTGTGTGTCGTTGTCCCGGATACTGCCAGCAGGACCACGGTTTGAGATAAACTCTGTCGACGACCGCAATGAGCCAGCCCGGAGACTACGCCGCGGTGCGCAAAGACATCGCTGCGCAGCTGAAGAAGCCCGGTTATGACGATGGCAGCGCAGGCCCGATTTTCGTCCGGTTAGCATGGTGAGTCATGGACCTGCATGTTCTTTCTTTGCAGGACTGTCATCCTCACGATTGATTGATTGATTCTAGGCACTCCGCTGGTACCTACGATCGCGAAACTGACACCGGCGGTTCCAACGGCGCCGGCATGCGATTCGAGAAGGAAGCAGGTGATCCCGCCAATGCCGGTCTGCACGTCGCTCGCGAATTCCTCGAACCCGTCAAGCAGCGTCATCCCTGGATCTCATACTCGGACCTCTGGACATTGGCCGGCGTCGTAGCGATCAAAGAGATGGGAGGCCCCGAGGTGGAGTGGAAGCCTGGCCGGACGGATTTTGTCGACGACTCGAAAGTTCCGCCCAGAGGACGGCTGCCGGACGGCGCGCAGGGAGCGGATCACATCCGCGCCGTCTTCTACCGCATGGGTTTCAACGACCAGGAGATCGTGGCGTTGTCGGGGGCACATAACCTGGGCCGGGGCCACAGAGACCGCAGCGGCTTCGAAGGTCCCTGGGTGAACAACCCGACACGCTTCTCGAACCAGTACTTCCGACTGCTGCTCAACCTGAAGTGGGAGCCGCGGACGCTGCCCAACGGCGTCAAGCAGTTCAGCTACGTCGACCCGGACGTGCCGGAGGACGAGAAGCAGGAGCCGTTGATGATGTTGCCCACGGACATGGCGCTGGCGTCAGACCCCAAGTTCCTGCCCTGGGTCAAGAAGTATGCCGAGGATAAGGATTTGTTTTTCGAGCACTTTGCCAAGGCCTTTGCCAAACTGCTGGAGCTGGGTATCCGACGGGATGCGAACGGCAATATCATCAACACCGACAGGCAGCGGGGCGGGTCGATTCCTGCGCCGGCTGTCAAGGCGAAGCTGTAGCCAGATCAAGATCCGATCTAGACTGGTGGATTTCTCATTTCTTTGCTCTTATCTCATACCCCTTGAATAGAATAGATAATAGATTATAGATGAATAGATGATAGAAATAAAGTTAGTGGTTCAATAAAGATAAATAGCGGATTCGCGATGTGTGATATGATATATATGTTGCACAACGATGAACGAGAATGCGTACCCGAACCCCGCTCGTGTGAGACAAACCAGCCTAGCACTCTGAAAAGTGCAAAGAAGGTCAAGTTAGTTGCAAAACACACTATCTGTGCATAAGGAATCAAAAAATAATAACAATAAAAAAGGGAGAAGGAAGGAGAGCAAATACGGGAATGGGGGGTCTTAGCAGGGTGGGAAAAAGAAGGAAGGAAGAAAGAACAACTATTAGGAAGAGTGAGGACCAACCTATTATTATAATAATTAATAACAAATAACGAATTAATCCCTCCTAGGTATGTACTTATGCACGTACCCCAACCCTATTCCCAGTCCCCAGGCCAATTAGCCTCTCTCAATGGGTGGGATAGAGTACTCCCTACTCCGTACTAAAATGCGGAGAAAGCTGGAAATGCGGGGAAAATAAATAAAAAGCGAGCACCCCATTTTCCGGGGTAAGTAAACCTTCACTCACTCTGTCCGTGTATAAATCCCAGAACTCTTGGAATTTGATCCTTTTTTTTTAACTTTTGGTCATGGATTCGTCCAGTAACTACTAAATTTTAGTCGAATGCTTGGTATTATTACCCGCCATATCACTAGCCATGTACTGTACTGTGAAAACAGCTCGATGAGGGGTCAGGTCTTCTCTGTGGTTGAAAAGTCGTAGAGTCGGGATTTTCGAATAACAACAAGTCCATCGAAGTTGAAATGTGTCTGGAATTCTTCCTTGCTTTTCATGCATGACAGAGAATACCATAACCTGTACAAGAAAAAAACAAAGCATGGATTGGTTGAGTTAAAAGACTATTCCCTCGAAGTCAGGATGGATAACTGAATTTGAAAACTGCCTATCGCATTAATGGTGAGACTTATTGGTAACTGTCACACGGAAGCCTATTTAAGATGCCAGAAATATTCAAGTGACTTATGCTGGTCTCCATTTGGTGACGGATATATATATATGTCTTTGGAGATCATTTTCTGTCCCCATGAGAATATCGACGTATGCCTAGCCCATAGGATATCAGAAACAACGCAAACTCCATAAAGAATCTTGCCAAAGTAATCGTGACATTGACTCTCATAGCCGAACCGACAGCGTGATGGCCATGTTGAATGATGTGTAGCATTATTATGCAAGCCTTTCATACCCATTTTGGTCATTAAAGGATGAAGTTCGGCAGCAGACGACATCCAAAAACACGAGGATCACCTTTTTGCTGCATGCAACGCGAAATCTTGCGCGACTGCTTATTTTTCTTATACCTGTAGTACGGACACCCCCGCTAAAAAATTTATTTCCCTTTCTGGAAGTCACCAAATTTTGAGTGATTGATAGGTACGGAGTACACCACCTCCAAAATCTGCTTTAGTCCCCGCTAGTTAAAATCCAGGGGTAAAACAGGGGTCGACGCCCGTGCCAGGACCCGTAAACAAAAAATTTGAAGCTTCTCATTACTTCCGTACCTGCGCTGCACAAACGTCACATTGATTCAAATTATTGGTTTTATCACGCTCATGCAGCGAGTTCCAATCATGGTAAGGAGTAATAATAATAGTACTGTCAGGTAAGATGTTCTTCAATTGTTCCCTGGTGCTGAACTCTGCTAATTGACCACCCGTAGGCTAGTACGATCGAGTCACCATGAGCACTGCCCCTTCCATTGCAAAACGCGCCCGGGCAGATACCAATGGAAGATCTCTCGATCGTCCTGGCATCTCAGGGAATGGTCCCGAACTGGCAGAGTCGAGCAGTTCGGGCTCTGGCTCACGCAGCGCTTCTGATATCAAAAACCTGATCGACGAATTGCCGTCCGAAAAGGTGAATGAGATCCTGGCACAGGCAGCTGCCCGCCATCCGGACGTGCTCCAGAAGATCCAAGACGTCGTCACTGCCGCGCGGGAGCGGGAAAGGAGCCGTATCATCAACTTTGACCACTACTCCAAATCCGTCTGGAAGTCGCTGAACGTCACTTACCGCTCGATGTCCGGATCGGCCCAGTATGACATCTCCTTCGAAGTTGTGGAGGAGATCGATGGAACAATTAAGCACATCGTGTCGCAGTGCGGACGCCATGCCAACCCCCAGACGCGATGGAACGGATTATCGGTACTGCGCAAGATCGGGAAAAGCATCGTCCTGAGCGGTGGTGACACGCTGGGCCACGAGGTGCAGAAGCAGTATTAATGGAATACCGCCCTGGAAGACGGCATGTTCGCGATCATCAAGGCGATGAGCCGGGAGGAAAAGTTGAGAATCCTGGAGGACACTGCCGAAGAAGCGCTCATGCCGAAGCTGCTCGAGTTGGAGAAGCTCGCGAAGGAGCATTGCTGTTTTCCGAAGCTCAGTGAGGTCCTTGATCTGCTGGAGCTGAATTGACGATGACGAAGAGGAGGTGGGAATGATAGACAAGAATGTAATGATGGGTGGAAGATGAAGGAGAAGAGAAAACCTGCCAGTTGAAAGTGTAGAGTACTTCCTAATCCAGTAATCACAAAATACACGTTTGACACATGCCTGTCCTACGCTTGCCCGAGAGAGAGAGGAAAGAAGAAAAGAAACAAAATGCTCCCACCGCCAAGCTTTTCAGCGACGAGGGGTGCTACGAGAACCCTCACTACCTTTGGCAGAACAGGCGTTTATTATCCCCGTCTAGCACAGACTGGGCGGGTGGAATTCAACCATGAAGCATGTAGCCACGCAAGTGATATGTGCTGTCCTGGAAAAAGTCGCGATCGTCTTGAGGTAATCGGAAACTAAAGAAAGGAACTCTGTTCAGAACTTAATGATACCAGATAACTAAATCTCCATACAGAGCCAAACTCCAATTCTCTCAGTTTCAATGACCAGGATTCGTTTCCAATTTTGTTTTCATGGTAGTCGATGATTTCAAGATGAAGAAAAAGGCAGACTGGGAAGATACGTGTCTGAATAGAATAAGAGATTTGCATGTATCAAGCCCCCGCAGAGACAGCTTGCGATTCATTGCTTCATACTCGGTTAACCGCGGTATGGTCACTGTATATTTGTCCACTCCGGGCGGATATCAATTAGGCCGCGGCCTCTTGTAAAGCTGATGATTCGGGAATGATGTCGCATTTGAGTTGGCGTCTCCGGCCGGCCTCTTGCCACGGGCTCTCTCGGAAGGTTCAATAAAGTTTTCGCCCTCTTGAGTCGTTTTCTCCGCATCAGGACCTTCACGAGTCAATGACGAAGGATCAATGCAGGGGGGATTGGAGTTGTCAGAACAGTCATAGGCTTGGAGGAACTCCAAGTCACTGCGGAGTAGTAGAACTTGTGACTCACCGTCATATGTTGCCTGATCCCCTGGGTCGGACTGTTGAACGTTTGGTCTGGCTGGAGAGTAGAGATTATGAATTTCCTCTCCATTCGGCGGGATGTCACTAGCACCGCCAACCGGGGCAACTGAGTGATTCAAATAACCGGCGTGAGCCGGGCCGAATAAGTAATTGTGAGTGCTAGGAGCGTCAGATGTTGGGTCAGAATTGAATTCAGCACTAGTGTCAGGGAAGCGCTGGGAAACCCTCACCATACCGGCAGCCTCAAACGTTGGATCTGGATTGCATTGAGCATCATAGTCAAGAAACCGAGATGAATCCCTTACCATATCAGCAACCTCAGATGGATCAGAGTTGAACGGAGCATCGTGGCTAGAGGGTTCTGAATCAGGAGCGAAATTGGTCTCAGAAAATTGATTAAGAAACTGAGTTAAAGCCCTCACAATGTCAGCGTTATCAGTTGTTGCATCGGGGTTGAATTGAGTATCAGGGTCAGGAAACTGAGATGAAGTCCTCACCATATCAGCAGCCTCAGATCGATCGATGTTGAATTGCGAATCGTTGCTAGAATATTCCGGAAAAGCAGACACCGTAGTAACAGCTGAAGGTGTTAAATTAGGGCCAAATTGAGCAGTGGTTTCGGAAACTCCCTGTGGATTCATGACAACGCCGGGAACAGCAGTTTCTGAATCCACTGGACCGTTGTTGGTTGTTCTGGAACCCATCCCGGAAAAGGCGACTGTCCAGTAGCTTCTCGCTTTATGCCTTCTTCCGAGGGCTGTCCCGTGGGGGGCTCGAGGTGAGATGCCAACACTTGCGGAACCACCCGCGGCCAGACTGGGTTCGTCATATCGTCTCTCAACCAGCACAGTGGAAGATGGCCCGGCTTCTGTATTTGATGCAAGTCTTCTTTCCCCAGAGAGGCGCTGATGATCGGTTGACGCCCAGGGCTGGTGCTTCTGCAGAATCAACACATCATTTTCAGCGGCATATAACATATCCCCAACAGTCTGCTTGGCCACTTCCAAGGCTTCCTTGTCTGGATTCAGAACCTGCTCGTAGAAGAGTAAGGGAACGGACACTCCCCTACACCACGATTCAGGGATTGGCTCATCCGGATGGGCGGCAGGGATGGTGCCTACGATGAGCCCGAGGTTGTGCATGCCATCATACATGCGTAGCTCTCCGGTTTCCTTCTCTCCCCGCCCCGAGTCCGTCCAGTAGGTCCGATATCGATACGGATCCTCCAGCCCGAGATGCGAACGTATCGTCTCATTCTTGTTGCAGTAGACTCCCCCCAGCCAACGATAAGTTGCGATCTGTGTCTGGCCATGCTCGTCACAATACTTGATCTTGATGTTATCGGACGTGTGGTTCCTGGGTGAAGCCGAATAATGTGGTTGAACTACCATCCGAAAAGGGAGAATGTTGAACCTTCGTTCGCGGACTATAGTGTCCCTCCGACGGCAATGGCCACATTCTTGTGACAACTGATATGCGAAAAATCTGTTCAAGAGCGCCTCCATTGTCACACCATGATGATCGCTCTCGAAATGGGGTGGTGCAACTACCGAGGTGACAACATGACTGAGCACCGGGGGAAAAGGGTGAGAGCAGGTGCAACATTTCACAAACTGTTCCGTGTACGAAATGTGAAATTGGCTGAAGGACTGGGTGCATTTGCGCCACACTTCTGACACGGGAATGGCCCTGCCATGGTTTCTGGTAATAATGTCCAGGAAAGCATCCCTCTTGGCCATGCTCTCCTCTGGCGATAGAACTGCCCAGTCGGTATCTGCCATTGTTCTGAATTCTCTTTCGGTCTCGGTCAACGTGTGTCCTAACATCTCGCTGGCACAGTCAATTATCGTGGATCCGACATCGAGGAATTTCCCAGCCACGATGACGCAGTCGACGGCAGATGTTTCTCTTCGGGAGACTGGGCCACGACCACGAAAGGCGTAGATAAGGCCATTGGGGTCGAGCACGAAGTCTGATCCGTCACCAGATCGTGACAGCCGAACATGGGATGTTAAGACAAAGGCGCGTGTCTCCAAGTGTAAGAGATCCCATTCACTTGCTGCCGTGAGATAAGGTCGTGGGATGTTTGCTGCAGCCTGCGGATGTCTATCCAAAAGTCTGTATCTTAGACCAAGAAGCGCCCTCTCCACGGATTCCACAACAGCCGGGAATGCCTGCGATTGACCAGGAAGAGGAGCCGAGGGCGGAATCGCACTTGGTTGCAGAACAAGAGGAGGGATCATAGCCACGCTGCCAGGCGGAGTAATATCGGGTGGTGTTGGATACGTGTTGTCGATATCTAAGCCTACTGATGGCTGGGTGTTCTGAGAAGGGTCACCAGCAACTGTGTGCCACGGGCCTAAGGTTGGCTGACCTGGCACAGTTGTTCTCGACCGCGGCCCCGACGGATAAGCAAACTGCTGCGCGTAGGAAGGAGGAATACCCTCTCCGAGAGGATCGGTGCCCGGATCGGGAACGGTCGGGTAGAAACGACTGATCGGTTTCGGCATCGGGTGCAAGTCGGTCCTGAGAAGACGCGGGCCAGCATCCCTGGAAAAATCAAAGAAGTCATTGAGAGTTGGGGGTCGATGTTGGTCAGCCTGATAATAGCTCAGCTTTCGGAGGGCCATCAGTCTGCTCTCCTTCTTCGACCGTCCCTGTACGTCTGGTTCGATACCCCAGCAGTGGAAATCAATTAAAACCTTGGTCACTGCACTCGAAAATATCCGCGAAGTGTTGCCAAAGGCCTCCTTTCCATAGCCGTAGAATGTCCAGTCGTCTGGAGGGTCGGGAAGCGCACCCAGGTCGAATAAATCATATTCACAATCGGGGTCGGGGTAATGCTTTCTGGGACTTTGTCTGCGAGGCATGGAGGGCGTTGTGAAGGCGACGTCGTGATACTGCAAAAAGAAGGAGTTGTTTGTGTCGTGGGTTGATATAAGATGAGAAACGGAATTTAGATGTCAGCTCGGGTAGTCGTGTCCTTAGAAACACGCGCAATGCTGAGCTGACATGAGGTTGTCACGACGCGATTTATGGTTGGAAAAAACAATGAAGTGCCACGCCAGATATGCGACCGGGGCCAGAGGCAAACAAGGATGAATTATTCAATCCATTTTCGGCTGCAAAAGAGATGAGGATGCCTATAAAAATAAATGAATTGAAAGGAAGATACAGCAGGATCAAACAATTAAACTGTATCTCCCATCGATCTTGAAATATCTTCAGCCCAGTCTCTTTGTGTTGGCGCCACACCGGAAGAAAATGCCCATTGTTAACTTAGACGATCGACAATGCCTGTGGCTTCTTGAACAATTATGACGAAAACAAAAAAGGATTTCCTTTGTCGTATCGTTTTGTCTCGGTGTATGCCTTTGTATTTTCACAGAGGCTTTTTATTGTTGTCCCTGGTCTTTGAGCGGTGGATGGATACCAACGCAAATATCATCAACCAGTTCTGCTGATTAGGTGATATCATGGAAATCTGCATTAGCAAATCAAATGGATCATCCTGTTGTCGTTCCAGGTCCAAGTGACGAATCGTCTCCAGTCACTTCTTGAACAAGACCAGATGAAGACATGAGATCGTTATCAGGATAGGAGTGTATTTGCAGCTGGTCAGATTGCATGAATAGTGGCTCCTCTCCTCGCTTTGCCCTCCAGTAATTTGTGGACTGGATAATTTCCGAACATTCAGGGAACATCCAACCCCACTTCCTGGCAAACTCCTCGGTAACTTCGAACCCATACGGATCCCAATATTCTCCCCAAATAATGAGCCCAGGTTGGCTCGTCTGCGCGCCACAATCGCCCAGGAGGTCGCCGCAGAGCTCCATATCGTCGTACTGACCCTCCATCCGCAGGAGCACGTCCCGAACGGACGGTATGGGAAGCGGATCGATCCACGGGTGGTGAAGGATCTGCTTCTGCAGTGAAGTTGGGCGTAGACTGGGCGGCAAGGCTGTTTCCGGCGTCCAGGGACCCAGGGTGTTGAAAGGTGAGACGATATCCTCCTTGAGAATCTCTACGGTCAGGCCCAAACTGAGGATATTGGTAATCATTGCTCTCAGTAGATTAAATTGCGTCAGGGAAATTAGGAGATCTGCGCGAGGAGAGCCTTGCATGAGGCCTTTGTATACGTCATCCTGCAACCGCTTCAGTACAGCGTAGGATGCAGCAGCACTCAGTTCGCAGATATGGGCTGGTTTTCTCTGCTTCATAAGCTCCAGACCGGGAGCCGACGACGGTGAACGGACTCTTTCAGCTTGCCCTTTGGGATCATGCGCACTGTTGTCCCCATGCTTTTTCCGCCGGGGTCCACGCGCTTCGTTATTGGGAGTAATTACAATCCATCTGAGGCGCGTAGATGTAGAACTAGAAGCCGAATTGGGGCTGTTCTGAGATTGCATTGCCTTCCGTCTTCCTGCAGGTTGCTAATTAGCCATATATTTCACTAAAACTAAGACAAAACTACGGGAAACTCACGGTGGGCTCTCTGGTTGAGACGGTTCTGCAACCTCCTGCGCTGTGCAGCGTTCGACAGGCCCGTCCAATCATCTTCGGGGGCGATCACTTCGGTCTGTTGGGCCATTCGCCTCAATGATACCGGCGGTATGGAGGCCATGACGCTAATATAGGGACAAACAAAGTCTGCCAGCAAAACAGACGTCTATTACATGTCCAAGTACGGAGTAGACCATCAGAAGAGAAATTACCGAACTTAGTCGGTCCAGACCCGCTCCTTCCTGAACTGCACTAACGAGATCGACAGCGGGAACTAACCTATCTAGGAAAGTGCAATCCGGTGCCGATGTGGGAAGGCACGATGGCCTGGCCGTGCCTGCAGGCATTGCCTTCCGGGTCGAAGCATCTCTCAGTGGTGGGAGAAAAGCTCCGATTTAATTTAGTTTTACAAAGCACGCAGGTCGGAGCAATGATCTCATGCGGATGATATGTCCGGCCATGTCTGCCTGGCCGATGCAGAATCGTGTTCCTCGGCACTCTGGACATTTCTTCTCACAATGCCAGCAGATGATAGGAGCTTCAAGGCCCTGGGTAACCACAGTCTCTGGCACCCCACAGATTGGGCGTGCGATTGAAGGAGAGCCGTAACGAAACGGTGCCTTCTCGAAAGGCAAAACAGCAGGAGGAGACAGGTCAAACAGAAGAGAAGGTGATGGATCGGGTAATCAAATTCACATTTACATTGCTTGTCATTTTGGCAGCGATCGCGCCGACCAATGGGTCCACAAAAGGGAAGAAGGGGTTGCCGGTGGTGGATTTAGGATACGAACGACACCGGGCGATTTCTCTCGATGTACGCCATCTGGTATCCCCCGCAGATGATTGGAGATAAGGCTGATTTTAGAAGTCTTCCGGGATTTACAACTTCAGCAATATCCGTTACGCCGCTCCGCCGGTCGGGGACTTGCGATGGCGGGCACCTGTCCCTCCAAAGAAGACTAAAGAGATACAGAAAGGCGACATTGGTCGCATCTGTCCTCAGGCAATGCCAATTTGGTCGACGGAGATAGCGTCAGTGTTTGTCCCGGATTACTTGCAGGGGAAACCTTTCAAAGGCTCTACGAACATCTCCTCTTATGGATATACTCCGTCGCCCCCTGATCCTCGTACCACGGAGGATTGTCTGTTTCTGGACGTCCTGACGCCAAAGAAGGTGTTTAAGCATCGCAAGAAAGCGCCAGTCATCGTGTGGATCTATGGAGGCGCCTACGTCGCTGGCGACAAGACGGCCTCTGATGTGACTGGATTGGTTCGGCGCAGCATGGAGGATGGAGGCAAGGGAATCGTGTTGGTGGCTATAAACTATCGGGTATGGTTCACAACTTGCGAGACACAAGACAAGAGCTGACTGTTCGACCTTTTTTAGGTGGGTGCATTCGGCTGGTTGCCTGGAACCGATGTGAAAGCACACGGTGTTGTCAATGCTGGCTTATATGACCAGCGATTTGCGCTGCAGTGGGTAAAGGAACATATCCATCGTTTTGGTGGTGATCCAAAGAAGGTGACTATCATGGGTGAATCAGCTGGAGCTGGATCTATTATGCACCAAATCACGGCTTACGGTGGCGTAAAGGGACCGGCTCCGTTTCAGAGAGCCATTCTCCAGAGTCCAGGCTTTTTCCCTATGCCGTACCAGGACCAGCAAGACGCTGTGCTACGAGACTTTCTTCAGCTTTTGGGAGTTAATACCATTGACGACGCACGGCGGCTGCCCTCTGAGAAACTGATATCTGCCAACGCATATCAAGTCGCAACGCGGCCCCCGTATGGCACCTTTGTTTATGGCCCGGTAGTGGACGGAATTTTTGTTCCTTCTCTTCCTGGTGCCCTCCTGTGGGGAGGTGCGTTTGATAGAACGGTAGAGGTAATGGTTGGTCATAATGCCAATGAAGGTCTTGAGTTCACCTCTCCCAACACCACGACGGAGGCGGGAATCATCAACGCCCTTAAGGAAGCATTCCCGGACATGACGCCCAGCGTTGTTCGACATGTTGTTACTGACCTTTACCCGCCCATCTTCGATGGAAGGTATGGGTATACCGATTCAGTGGGCCAGGCCTCGCTGATTACTTCCGACGCCGCATTCCAATGCAACACGGACTACTTGAATCGAGCCTTCGACAATCGCACGTACGCGTACATGTTTAGCATTCCTCCTGCTCTTCATGCGCAGGATATGCCCTACACCTTTTTCAATGGCCATCCGTCGCTGTCAGTGAGGAACAGCACTGTGGCGCTTGTGCTGCAAGACTATATTATCAATTTTGTGAAGTCTGGCAAGCCACGGTCGTCTCTGGGACCGATGTTTCCGCGGCATGGAGCGGATGCTATGTTGGTCAATTTGAGAGAGTCGAACATTACACTCATTCGCGATCCGACTGCCAATCGACGATGCCTGTGGTGGCAGATGGCTCCGTATTAATAGGCAGTCATATTAATCGAGCACAAAAACATCGATGGAAAAATCTTGCATTTGCTATTTTTTTTCTCTTTCTGAGCTTTGTCTAATTTTCAGAATATTGATAACGCCATCGCGTATAGTGAATAATATTCCTGGATATCTCCCTAATTAAAGATGATGCCTCCATCCACCAACATCGTCTGTCCAGTCACATAGTCCGAATCCTTACTGGCCAGGAAACCACCAACCAAGCCGGCCACATCCTCGGGAACACTTGTCCTGCCCAGCGTAATCAGCTGCTGGCTGTACTGCTTGATACTCTCGCCCTTGGGCCTGCCATGCAACTTGCCGAGGGCCTCGTCGATCTGGTCCCACATGTTCGTGCCGACGATGCCCGGCGCGTACGTGTTGACGGTGATCTTGTGCGGCGCAAGCTCCATGGCAAGGGCCTGGGTCAGGCCGCGGACGGCCCACTTGCTGGCCGAGTAGATGCCCAGGGTAGCAAAGGCCTTGAAGCCGACGATGGAGGCCGCGCCGACAATCTTGTACACGCCCACGCCAGCCGCCGGCTGCGGGTCGCCCTGGGCGATCATCTGCTTGGCGGCGAGCGTGTAGCAGTTGAAGACGCCCTTGAAGTTGACGTCGAAGACCTGGTCGATATCGGCCTCGGTGACGTCGAGCAGGGGCTTGATCTGCGCGATACCGGCGTTGGCCACCATGAGAGTTAGCGGGCCCAGCTGCTCGACGGTCTGCTTGATCATGGCCTCGACCTCGCTGGCCTTGGTGACGTCTGCGACGACGCCGATGGCGCGGGTCGTTCCGCTGCTGCTGTTGTTGATCTCATTGACGACGTTGTTAATGTCGTCGGCGAGAGCGGCAATGTCGTTGATGCAGACGGAGTAGCCGTCCTGGGCGAGGCGAAGGGCGATTGCTTTTCCTCTACATTTAAATTAGACGTCAGTCCTGAATCAGAGAAAGAGAGGGACGCCGTCCCTCTGTGCTCAGTTCTCGACATAGGCGAGGTAATACTTACATTCCTCGTGCCGACCCCGTCACAATAGCCGTTCTGCGGGGAGCAGCAGTAGCCGGACTCGCCATGTTGGATGGTACAATGGTAATGATATAATACTATCTCCTATGAAAGATGAATAAGAATGATGAAAGTACCTTGAGAACAGAAGAAAGAAGAGGAAAAAGAAAAGGTACTGTACGAGAAATTGAGATTCAAGAAAAACGTCGATTCGATTCCATCCTTTCGACCCCTCACCTTGCCCCTCTGGATGGACTGACTACCTAGGTACTCTACGTGTACATACATGCATACAATCCTAGGTAGATAGTCAATGGCTGCTGCTCTCGCGATAACATTGGGCCGAGAAGCATACCTACGTACCTATGGTAACCTACCTATCTATAGATCCAACCATGCCGTCGGATAATGAACTTCCCCGCATGCTACTGAAAATTGCATGTGCTTCCAGGGCCCCTCACTCCGGTGTCAGATTCGATCCAGCTGTATGTATTCATTCATTCATTCGTATGTATGTACTGTACCTACTTTTGTTTACCTATCTCTATCTCCCCGTCTGGTATGATGATGACATAGGGTTACATTTCCGATGGAATGGAGTGGAGTGGAGTGGAGTGGGGTACTTGGGGTACAAGAAAATGCGGGGTCTGGGGGATGTTTGTCCGGAGTAGATGAACTACTGGCCGGAGGATCTCCGAGAAGTGCCTGTGGACTATTCTGTACCTAAAGAATAGCTGTTTCTTCGACTTTCTTCTTCCTTTCTCCATGATTGAGACATGTTAGTTACAATAAATAACAAAGCTTGTTTTTTCCCCTACTAATTGAATGTACTGTCTTACTAGTCCTTAGTAGATAGATACTTCACTTTTCCTTTTCTTCCGTCGGAACAATGCCTGTCTCTCCCCGCTGAATGCTGTCTGCCTGGGCCAGTTCTGTCCCATCGATGAGCGTCTCGATCTTGGTAGTGGCGAATTTGCGTGCGCTGATTTTGTTGGCCTGGTAGAAGAATGTCATACCGTTAGGTCTGAATAACTTGATGAAGATATGTATGTAGTGACGACTTACAAAGAGAATGTCGAGCTCGGCGTATGTTCTGCCCTTGGTTTCGGCTACAGCATCAAACTTTGTTAGCATATTATCATTCTCTAGAGGTTCATAGGTATCTTCCGGGCACTCACGCAGGCGGAAATAGAGGTATATATTCATCAACAAGTTGATGCCCGCCCAGAAGAAGCATGCCTTGGGCCCCCAGTTCCATGCTGCCGCGTTCAATTGCCGGTAAGAAATGATATTCACAAAGGCGAGATTGATGATGTTGTAGGCGTTCCGGGCCAGGATGATCGACTTGGACCGGAGTCGCGTCGAGGGAATCTCTGACACGATGGTGTACACTACAGGCGCGACGGAGAAATCAGCTGTGGCAGACAGCAAGAGAACCATGGTCCCTGCGGTCCAGGAGGTTGCTGTTGAAGGTTGAGAGGGGATCCCCATCCCGCCCGCGACGCTGGAGGATGTTAATGTTAGTCAACAAATATGGATAGAAGGACGAGGACTCGACTCACAGCAGAAGAATAAACATCACGACCATGCCGCCGCACATCAGCTTCTTGCGGCCCACTTTGTTAAGGACAAGCCAGGACGTGATTGTTCCAGCCGCACTGATTGCTGACTGGCCCCAAGAAAGGCTGTAGGCATCCTGCGTGCTGATTCCTGCACGCACATAGAAGTAGGAAGAGAGCCCGCCGACTACGGTCCCGGAGAGTGTCTGGGCGATCCACGTCATGCAGACAATCTCCGTGCGACGTAGGTCCGTGCCTTTGAAGCAGTCCCAGTAGGTCGTGCCTGCAGCGACTTGCTTTTCCATTTCGTTTGTGTAGATCATGTCTGCATCAATCACTTAGTTCGTTCCTAGTCGGTAAAAATCACATTTCTTTTTAACTTACATGCCATAAGGCGGTCTTCATCCTGCCTGTCGAATCCCACTCTCCGAGCGAGGCGTCGAAGAGACCGTCTCGCGCGGTCATGATATCCCCGTCGAACGCACCACCAGGGCGACTCCGGGGCAAGGAATGTCCCAACCATGATCGGGATCGGCCACACCCATTGAATGGCGAAGGGGATCTTGTATCTGTGCACGCATCAGCCGAGAACCATATCCTGCAACGGAGCAACATATCTACCCCCAGACGTCCTGACGGTTGACGAGACCCCGGAGCACACCCGCAGAAATGAACTGCCCAATGATCCAGGACAGGTTGACGTAGGTCGTAAGATAGTGCCGAAGAGGGACTGGACAGATCTCGGCAGCGTAGGCAGTCGTTATTGTCTGAGATCACTGATGCGTTGGCAAGCTATCTCGCGATAAAATATTTGCTATAGCAGTATTCTTATCGTCTCACCTGGAAGACCCCCCAGCTGATGCCCTGCAGAAGCTCTCCAACAAGGAAGACGGTAAGCGTCGTCGCTACTCTAAGATTAGCACGCTCTTAGCAAAGGCCTGCTGAACACACCGTAAAAAGGGATGAAGATGAACCCAATTAATGTGACAAGCGCAGCGATGATCGTCCAGCGGTAGCCGACGCGTTCGGACATGACGCCCGCGATCTGAAGGCCAATGACTTCGCCGCAGTTTGTCGCAGCACCGATGCCGTTCTGCCAGGACGGAGGGATGTTGAGCGTTCCGTCGGGCGCCTTGATGCCAAACACCTTCAGGAAGGAAGGGTACGCGTTGACTTTAATAATAATCACCTGTCAGAACGATCGACCACGACCCCAGAAGCACTACCGCTTACAAGATCCAACGACGGCAGTATCATAACCTTCCATGATCAAGGCTGACGAAAGTACAATGCTCCAGAATATCGCTTTGGGGTATACGCGAAATGCAGTCCGCAGCTTCATGCCGCGTTCGCGCTCATTGGCTTCGTTGGCTTCGTGGATGAGGGTCTAGAAGAGACTTTAGCAGAGTCTAAATGCGCAGCCTAGGAAAAGAAACGCAGATCTACCATGAAGTCATCGACATTGGCAGCCACTCTGCTCGCGACATCCTGGCTGATCTGAGCCTTGACCTCGGAATCTCGCATCTGCTGCACCATTTGGAACGATGATCGGCCTTAGCTTTGTGGATCTATGCAGAACAATAATTAATCTCTATCCTGGTTACTACGATCTACAGAAGAGAAGGAAGAGTATTTGTAGACAGGAGGCAGGTAATCGCTAAATCCCATGCGGGGTTGTGTAAGTCCATGGATAATTGCAGGGATAAATAAAGACTGGCTTGACTGCAAGGGAACCGGCCGTTCATGGATGTACTCGCGCATTGCCATTTTGAGCCATGGTTGCCGCCACCGCGCATGCAGTCCCCATTCCGATTTGATGCGCTGATTCAGTATGTTACATCAGGTTTGCAGTTAATAGGCTGCGTTGTATTGCGGGCTCTAACAAGTATTTGCTCGCGGGGTACAGTCCGGGGAAGGCGTTTTGTATGCCTCCGTATACATATACTTCTGTATGGGTTCTTGATAAACTCCCGGGCCTAATATAGTAGTGGGCCTAAAGACTAGGTAGGTAGGTTAGATGAGATTTCCCAAATAAGAAAATATGTCATCTCTTATTACTAGAATTAAAATTATTTGCAAATATGTATCAATCCTTTCTGACCCGAAAAGTCTTATTAACAACTATAATTCCTTCAAGGACTGTGCTCCCTGTTAAAGCTTTCTGCTGGACCGAATAAACCGTCATGATCTTCATTACCTATGCCGCGCTCATGAGATGCCACTTTCCCGCTGCAACGCTTCTTGAATGATAGCTTCAATTCACCCATGCCCAGGGTTATGTGGTCGACCGCCCTCTCGATGAAATTGTGACCGTCTTCACCCGGGGCAAAGTCGAAATCGAAGGTCGTCACCAGACGTGCGATAGTGGTGCGGAGGTTGAGGAGGGCAAGAGGTCTGCCAATGCACCCGAATGGTCCTGCGCGCAGCACAATGTTACACTGACAACAAAACAGAAGCACTCTCTTGCCTTCTTAAGGCCAAACAAACCGACAGGCATAAAGATATAGAGATGCGGAGTTTCCGTAGTGATTCTTACCGGTAGAAAACGGGGCGTATGCAGACCTTTCCTTCACCATGTCCGGGTACTTATACCACCGCTCGGGGATAAACTCTTCGGCATGGGGATAGATCGCCTCGCCTGAGAGGTCAGTTGGATTGTTCTCGGCTTCCAATCTGTAAGCTCGCTACTTACACCGTCCGATGACATATTGGGGACAATAGACAATCATATTCCCTGGAATATGGGTCCCATCGATCTCGATCCCCTCAGGTGGAGTGAGCCGCTGGAATACGGTGGGAACGGGCGGATACAAGCGGAGCGCTTCGTAGATAATGGCGTTGAGATGGTCCAGATTGGCGATCTGGTGGTTCAAGAACTCGCCGGAGGGATCAGTTATGTATGGAGCGAGCTCCTCGCGCAGCTTGTCGATCTGGTCCGGATGCCGCACGAGTTCGTAGACAATGCTCGCCAGTGCACTTGCCGTGGTGTCACTAAATAGTCACACAGTCAGATTCAGCCAAGTCACTGTTGGAGAAGACGGTTCAACTGACCTTCCTGCGATAACTATCAATTGGGCATCTCCATGCAGCCATGCAAGTTCTTCTGCACTCGGATCCCGGTCTTTCAGAGGGTCCAACAACGCCGAGCTGATGTCAGGAATGTCAACTTTGGTCTAGTCCTCTGTAAACGGTCTGTCTCTGGCAAGAAAAAAATTCCTCACCTTCATCCGCTCGTCCATACTCTGGTTGCAGAAATTCAGAAGCTTCCACCAACGCCTCGTGAGGCCCGGAATGGAGCCAACAAGTCGAAGAAACCACATCGGAAACATGAACGCGTAGTGAAAAAGGCCCTCATCCAAGAGCTTGACCGCCCAATGTTCCGCGCCCGATGCGACCATGTTGAACGATCGTCCAAAGGCGAGATCCCCCATCACATCAAAACTGTACAGTTTCACCCATTTGGTGATGTTCACCGGCTGACCGTCGAAAGCGGCCAGCTGGTCCATGAGCTTCTGGCGATAGACTCGTATGCGCTGCTCATAACCCCGGAGCGCCTTGTCGCCAAAAGCGGCACTCCAAATGCGACGCCGTTGGTCATGCAGCGCTCTCACCCGACAGGTTTGTAGCGATACCGTCGGAACGGTGATGTCGTACCAGAATCCTTTGGTGCATTTGGACCCAGATCCGTTGATGATATTTACAGCTTTCGGGTGGCTGATTGAAAGATCCGACGGCCCTACGCGGACGAAATGGCCATGCTTGTTATGCAGCTTCTGAAACTGTCGAAAGGGGTCTGAGGCCGTCAGATGGGCAGAGAGCCAGAGACCGGAGATTCGGGCGCCCAACGGACCAGGAAACCTGTTTAGAGGATGCAAGAACAGGCGATAGATGACCAGGCTGGTGTAAAGACCGGCGAGGAAGTACGAGCCCAGCCAGGCGGCGGTCGAAGCTGCGTGGCCAACCTGCACGCCTTGGGCGTCAACCAAATAGACAACAGTCATCAAAAGAAGACCGGCGAAGGCCACGACATATCGAGCAGGATTGAGATGGTGTTCGCCTTTGTTAAAGTAGCCGATATGAGACGCAATACCGGCGATGACAGCTGCGATCTGGTGTACAGCGACCACCATTGTAGGCAAGTTTGACAATAATCAGACAGCGTGTATAAGAAGGGAAATGAGATTCAAACAATAGCAGATGTTTTTCAGAGATCCAGACATTATTGTTGGACTATTTAACCCCGCATCGGACAGTATGCGTCGGCATTTGGTCGAAACGCTGGACGCAAAAGAATAGTTGTTGATTGCGACTCATGGGTTACACAACGAGTCCATTTGTTAGCTGTTTCTGAAGCCGACTTCTCTAGGCTTGGACGACCAGGATCGCAAGTCGATTGAAGGCAGACGGATGTTGGTCAGGCATGTTGTCAATATTGTGATAACGACCAGGGAGTGCATGATGAGTGGACTATCGACGCAGTAGACTCGTAACAGTTGACAGGGAAGATTTCAGGAAATTTCAAAGCTGGGGCTGAGCAGAAATTGAGAACGGTGACAGGAAAGAATGGAAGGCAATGAATGCCATATATGTACCTAGACAATGATAGTGTAGACCAATCGGCGCAATAAGAATTTCGGCGAATGCCGCAAAACTCGGTCACTGAAAGAAGGATCAGGATGCCTGAAATGGATGGGAACGAAACGTATCAAATATACTCCATAGGGAACACCAGAGATGCATAACTACATACATGGGAATGGCTATCCAGAGGCACGGCCACGTAGTACGCCCTGCATCGATCCCATATATTTTCAAAAGATCGTTCTTCTGATCAGCAGGTGTCCGATCATGGGATTCTACGCGCACGACGTCGCTGCCTATCTGGGAAGGTACCTGGCAGCAGGTGCATCGTGACCAAATAGGCAGGAACTGTAGGACTTAACCCGTTCCTTCCTAGCTAGGCAGGTGTGTTGACATGGAAGCAGGATCTTCTCCCCATAAACTTTTTTTCCAAACAGATTGATCTAACAGGTATGTTTCTCCTCATTCTTCTTCTTCTTCTTCTTTTTAATTTTTTTTGTCTATATTTCGTCTAGTTCTTCACTCCTTCAATCATCACCTTGATTACACTCTCCTTGCCCTGCCGGACAAGCTCAAAGGCCTGCTCTGCCTCTTCAAATTTGTACCTGTTTGTGATCAGCCTCTTGACATCGATCTTGCCGCTCGCGATGAGGTCGACAGCCGTGGGGTAGCAGCCCGCTGTGTACCGGATTGAGCCACGGATCGTCAGGTCTCGGATGCAGGCGACTGTTATGGGGAATACGACGTTCTATATAGAGAATATCAATTTAGCAAGACACAACGGTCTGGCTCTGCGGCTCGTTTTGAGAATTGAATTGGATGGATCTTACCTCCCTGCCCATTCCAGCCTGCACATACATACCGCCCTTTTTCACGAGATGCACGCCCGTCTGGATACAGCTCTCAGCACCAGTTGCTTCCAAGACAACATCCGGCCCATCTCCCAAGTTGAACTGCTCCTTAATCATCTTCGCCACCTTCTCACTCCACTCCGTGTCATCGATAACATCAGGTTTGGGAGGTGGACAGAACACATCGTCAGCGCCGAAGGTCTTTGCAAACTCAAGCCGGGACTGGCTAATATCGACTCCGATAACACGCTTCGCACCGTATGCTTTGCTACAGACAGCCTGACACAAAAGCCCAATAGGCCCACAACCAAAAACGACAATGGTCTGGTTGCCCCGGACCTGGCCCACTTTGGTGATCTGTACCGCTACCGCGACGGGCTCGACCATGGCTCCTTCTTCCAGGTCCATGTGGTCAGGGATTGGGTAGCAGAAGTCAGCCTGCGTGATGTAGTATTTCGACAGGGTACCGTCATGTGGAGGCGTGGCGGCGAAGACGGTGTCCGGACAGAGGTTGTACGAGCCGCTGCGGCAGTAGTTGCAGCTATTGTAAACACTTAGTGAGCAGTTCTGCTGTAAGTGGTGTGCTAATAACTCACTGTCTACATGGAACCCCGGGCTCGACGGCTACCCTGTCGCCGACCTTGAGGTTCTTCACCGC